CCCACCCCCCCACCCTCTCAAATCCAACAACCCCCCTCAAATCCCCCACCCCTTCCAACCCCCTCAAATCCAACACACACCCCCAACTAGCCCCCTCAAATCCAACCCACTCCCCCAACCTTCTCGTTCTTCTGAGCTCACCTGCTCCACAAACAGCTCAGTGACCTAAACGTATAAAGTATTCACTTTGGTCACCTTCCCCTGCACTGCTCCACCCACCCCAATTTTGCTAGGGTCTGCAGGGTGCACAGAGGAGGGAGAAATAGTTTGGGGGTTTTTAAAAGTGCACTGCCCCTTAGCGAGGTGCTCACTGAAGTATAGGGGACGTTTCAGGCCCTGTGCAGATATTTTTCAGCGAGTCAAGTCTGGTTGCTGTTCTTGGATCTGGAGCAAACCACAATGACAAAAAGGAAATAATTGTTAGTTGCAGGGAACATCAGAGGCAATTCTGAGATGCAAGAACAGGGACGATCTTGTAAAATAGAATCCCAGCAACTAGTATGAAGGTACTGGTGGTAACAGCACTCCATTTTGAAGTATATAGCACATGTTGGGCCAGAATGTGCCATTTACAATTTTGACTTTTTTCCTTCTGAAAGTGAAACTAAATGCGGGGAAAGATGTTTAACTCTTACTATGTTCTTCGCCTCCGTGTCAGATTCTAAATATTTTCCGTGTTTTAAAAATTTCCTGTTTTTATTCGGTGTTGTGTATAATGATGTGATGTGAGCTTATTGAATTATTAATTGGTTTTCATGAAGTATAATTAGTATATTTGCATTCAGAGGTTGAAATTTCCGATTGCTTGTTTTTCTATCAAGGTGCACTAATTTTATTTTTGGGATGTTGTTGATGGCAAAACTTTGAAAGAACATTAAGAACTGCTTTATAAAAGGACTGACTAGCCTTTTTCAAAGGAAGGCTGTTTCTCCTGAAAGTGCATATCTGACAAATGTGAGCCTGGCCAAGTTCAAAACTATAACTCAACATGCAAATTAGTCTTTTTTCTCTCTTAATGATCATTCTGGGAAGCCACTACATGTCTCACTATAAATCTGGCTGCATAATGGTAGAAAAACTGTTGTTTATACATTGTTCCTGTCAGTAGATTGTTTTTTATCCATCTCCCACAGTTCAGGTTTCTTTGAGTCCAAAGATGAGTCAGCGTTTTCTTGTTTGCTTCTGTTTATTTACTATGATGTATAAACTTGCACTGAAATTAAGCTTACATGAACCGACTCTGAAGGGCAAGACGTTCTCAAAGATGGAAAAGATCAACACAACAACTCTTATTTAAAAGTCTCTTTGCTGTTTTCACTTTTAGGTGACATAGGTAGTTAACAGTGGCAATGGCAACTAGCCTGGATGCAGACATTGTTCGTGAAGTACTGGAATGTCCCATCTGTATGGAGACCTTCAACCAAACTGTAATAAGGCCCAAACTCCTACAGTGTGGGCATACAATTTGTAAGCAATGTTTGGAAAAGCTCATAGCAAACAGTATAAATGGAGTGCGTTGTCCCTTTTGCAGCAAAATAACCAGGATGAATAATCTGTCGCAACTTTCAGACAATCTTACAGTTTTAAAAATCATTGATTCAGCCTCTCTGAGTGAAGCAATGTGTACGGTCATGTGCAAAGTCTGCCGGAAGAGGCTGCCTCGAAACTTCTGTGAGAACTGCTGCCTGGTCCTTTGTGAGGCCTGCAAGACTGACTGTCATCAAGCGCAAGGGCACACCGTTGTCACAATTCGCGCTGAGGCTGAACAGCGGCGGAAGGAGATTGGGATTAAGCTTGCCAAGCTACGGGAGATGATGGTGGACATGCAGCGCAAGAAGACTGCCATGGACACGGTTGCAAAAAACATGCAGTCAAAATACAAAGCAGTCCATCAGGATTACAGTCGGGCTGAACAGAGGATACAGGAGGAACTGGCCAAATCTCGCAGGGCTTTCACATCAGCAGTGTCAGAAGTTGAAAAGGTGAACAATCAGATACTGGAGGAACATGCTTATTTGATCAATATTGCTGAGGTGCAGATTGTGTCACGCTCTGATTACCTCAGCACCAAAATCAAGCAGGCAGACACAGCTCTTCTTGAAGAAGCCATTGATGATGAGGACCCTGATTTGACTAACAACATGCCTACTCATTTAACACTGCAGCAGGTAGATTTGGTTAAAGGAGACCACCTAGGGCCAACAGAAATTGGACAAATTGAGACAAGGCCTTATACTGTTCCCAGTGAAGAGACACTCATGGAGACATTTACCCCCACTGCCTCAACACAAGAGACAGACTCCCCAAAAGATATGGCCAGTGTCCTGCAAGCATCATCTCCAAAAAGCAGGGAGCCTGAAAGCATGGCCTCCGGACCCCCTAACTGTCAGCTGATGAAGAAAATTGGCTCCCATGGAAACTTACCAGGGATGTTCCACCTTCCGGTGAGCCTGTGCGTGACAGTACAAGGGGAAGTGCTCGTGGCAGATCGGGGAAACTTTCGAGTTCAACTGTTCAATCAGAAGGGCTTTATGAAGGAGATTAGAAGAAGCCCAAATAGTATTGACAATTTTGTTCTCAGTTTCCTTGGTGCTGAGCTCCCGAACCTGATACCACTGTCTGTGGCTGTCAATAGTATTGGCTTAATTGGGGTGACTGACAACTATGATAATTCTGTTAAGATTTACACGACTGCAGGGCAGTGTGTAGCGTGTCACAGGAACCAGCTGACAAAACCATGGGGTATCGCTGCAATGCCTTCTGGACAGTTTGTGGTGACAGATGTAGAAGGTGGAAAGCTTTGGTGTCTAACTGTGGACCGTAACGTTGGTGTTATAAACTATTCTCGGCTGTGCAGCGCAGTCAGGCCCAAGTTTGTGACCTGTGATGCGAATGGCAGTGTATACTTCACTCAGGGCCTGGGCCTGAACCTGGAGAATAGTCAAAATGAACATCACCTGGAAGGTGGCTTCTCTATTGGCTCCGTTAGTCCTGAGGGCCAGCTTAGTCGTCAGTACAGCCACTTCTTTGCTGAGAATGAAGACTTCCGTTGCATTGCAGGGATGTGTGTTGACATCAACGGGAACCTGCTTGTTGCAGACAGTGGGCGCAAGGAGATTCTCCTCTTTCCCAAAGAGGGTGGATTCGTCAGTCTGATAAGAGAAGGTTTAGTGTGCCCAGTCGGGGTGGCTGTCTCACCCAAGGGTCAGCTTCTAGTATTGGACTGCTGGGATCACTGCATTAAAATCTACAACTATCATTCAAGGCAGCATGTAACAAATTGAGTTTTAAGTAATCAGGCACGATAAACCCATATAGCACTCCAGTACTTTTTTTTCTCTGGGAGTAGAAAGCAAACCTTGCTTCCTTCCTACCAGCACCACAATCAGCTGTTTTGGCCATGCATCCCTCCCCAATAAAGTTTTTTCAATAATTAATGACATTATTAATTCCTTGTACTGTATGTTACAAAACTTAGTTAAATAGACTACTCTGGTTGCTGTATCATTGCACATGGCTGAATTTTTGATTTGCAGTTTGGTACTTCTGTGAACAATGTAAGGTTACCTTACGTTTATTAAATGGGGTACTTATTATAAAGTGTTTCAGAAAATAAAACTGCTGGATTTCATCCAACCATGTGGAATACTTTTTGTTTGAAAACTTTGACAATATAAACTGTAACTATTCCAGTCTAGAATGTCTCAGGCCAAGTTACTAATGGATTTTTGAATTAAGATCATAGAATGTCTAAACAAAAGTGAAAGAACTGGAAACCACCGTAGATATTTATTTACCATAAATCTTCAATAATGATGAACATTATAAAGCTGTAATAAAAAAGAGGCTTAATTCCAAAAACAGTGCTCCACAGTAAGGAGGAACTAAATGTTAATTATCTTTACTCAGACCATGCCTTCTAAACTGAATAAGTCCTTGAGTTGCTTGGGTCTGCACAAAAAAAGTTCAAGACATCTGGTGTTTCCAGGACATTTTTTTTTCCATGCTAGAGAGGTGCCACGTATATAAGTGTCAAGAATACAAAAAAAGAAAACATGACTTTTAGGTCTTAACACCATGACATTCTAACAATCCATTTGAAAATGTTTTCGAAAGGGTAGCAGTGCAGGACAGTGCCAAAGTCTGATGGAAACCAGGCTAACTGAGTACGTTTCAGTGGATTTCCAAAATATGCATTTTCAAAACCTCACTAAATATGAGGGCACAAACTTTGCTTATAAAGTATCTGACTCTAATCTATAGTTCTAGCCTGTTCTTGAATGCTTGCTACAAAATACAAGACAGAAATCCTAAACATTTAGTTCACATGCACCTTTTAAATTGTTTGTAAATCAATTTCTAACACAACGTGCCATGTCAGAGTGCAATAGTCCACTGAATTTCAAAAAGCAGCCACAATCCTCTGCACCTATTGCACATCTTTCTTTTTCCTTTTCATCACTGAATCAAACTTCAATGTTAGAGTAATTTTTGTCACTTCTCGCCATTGACTGGTGCTCCATGTAATTCCACATTTCAAAGGATATCTTTTAGCTTAGTTGGCTGGACAGCTAGTTTGTAACACAGTTATATCAACAGCATGGGTTCAATGCCCACATTGGCTGAGGTTACCTTTCACAAACATTCCCCTCATCTGTGCGATGATGGCCCTCAACTTAAACCAACGTCAATCGTGTCTCTAATGAAAGAGCAGCTAAATGGTCCTCTGAGACTCTGCATCTTTATAGGGTATCATCAATGTGGAACTGACAGTCCATCAAAGATGTGTTGATAAACTGTTGTCAACAATTTGCATTTATAAAGCACCTTCAATGTATTAAAATTTGCCAAGGCATTTCACAGTTTTATTAATGAGACAAAATTTGAAAGCAATTCAGAAATAAATATTGAGAAGGATAAACAACAGCTTGATCATTTGGTAGGTCTTAAGGGATTTCTAAAATGAAGACCGAGAGGTAGCAAGGACTTGGGGGGAAATTCCAGATCTTCAGGCCTAAGTAATTGACATTGCTGGGTTTGACAAGAGCAGTAGTGGACAACATTACATCAAGCTGTAGTCTAGGAGCATCTCAAAGTGACCTTTGATAATCTGACTTCATTCCAGCTTCCTTAAGTACAGTTCTTATGGAAATAATGATAGGAAAAAAAAATTATCCTACCTTTCTGATACTGGAGCCAAAGCTGTTGCTGGACCTTCTTGCTTGGAAAGTGTATTTTGCATGTGAGTTCTGAGCCATAGAGAGCCTCAGCTATATAATGGCTGCCATACTGCTGGATGACAGAAATCAGATCCTCTCTGCTACTCTCTCCCTTCAGCATTTTCAGCATATTGGAAAAACCTGTGCCGCAAAAGAATATTTGTGTTTACAAGTAGAAAATCTGGGAGTTCTTTCACAGGCAATTATTATTGCCTTTCAGTTGACTAGTAAAGATCTGCCTAATCCCTTCCCCAAATTTCCAGTGCACCGTTACATAATTTGCAAATAAATGAACCTTAGAAAATATTTGGAATTGTAATCTTTTCTCTTCAATCAGTTTTGTGCCTTTCTTCCATAAGCAGCTAATAAGTGGGTATAAATGCAAAATTATGCAGATGCTGGAAACCTGAAATAAAAACAAAACAGAAAACCTCAGAAATAGTCAACAGGTCACACAGCATCTGTTAGGAAAGTAACAAAGCTCCTTTAATCAACAGTCTTTAAGCAGATATTTTACTGGGGCAGGAAAACGAGGAAAGAACAAAAGTACAGTTCAGTGAAGGTGTGGAAAATAGGAGTAATTAAATAGTAAAAATGTACAAGGTACAAATGAATGATCGTAGGGCAAGGAAGAAAAAAAAATGTTCGGAAGTATAGATGAAAATGTCATCGGAGCAGCCATTGGCATCAGTTGCTGTCAGAAAAAAACGGCATCAGTCATTGTGACTGAAATTGTTCGTCTCAATTTTGAGTTCAGAATGTTGTAAAGCACCCATTTCAAAAGCTGAGGTACTGTTCCCACAGTTTAAATTTAGGTTCATTGAGAGAATGCAGGAGGTCAAAAACAAAGTGGAAGGATTGAAAATCTGATAACAAGAAGCGCAGGTTGTTATTTCTAAATAGAAATGTTCCACAAAGTGTTCATTTAATTTGTGTTTCATCTCCCCAGTATAGAAATTATTGACTTGTTAACCCTATATCTCTCTCCAAAGTCAGCCTTACCCACTGAGTATTGCCATAATTTCTGCGTTTATTTCAGATTTCTGATATCCACGAGTTTTTGCTTATGTAAGTCACTGCTTGACCTGGAAAGAGGTTTCTGTCCAAAAAAGGAAGTTAAAGGGTAGCTGTTGATCTCTTATCCTTGCACGTGAAGCATGCTGCAGAAAAGGGAGAAGGCCTTTGGAGATGATTGCAGTTTGGGGAGGCAAAGGGCCAGTGGTATTATTACAAGACTATTAATCCAGAAACTCAGCTTGTGTTCTGGGGACACCAGTTCAAATCCAACCATGGCAGATGGTTGGAATTTGAATTCGATGAAGAATCTGGAATTAAAGGACTAATGGTGACCATGGAACCATTTTCAACTGTCGGGGAAAAAAAATAAAAACCTCATCTGGTTCACTAATGTCCTTTAGGGAAGGAAATCTGTCATCCTTACCTGGTCTGGCCTATATGTGACTCCAGACCCACAGCAATGTGGTTGACTCTTAACTGTCATTTTGACTTGATTTATTGTCACTGTTTTCCATGCTATTCAGGCAAATCATACCCAAATAAGTACATCAGCATAATAGCACAGAATACAGAATATAGTGTTACAGCTACAGAGAAGATCAACTTTAATAATGAGATCCATTCAAAAGTCTGATTAACAGCGGGGAAGAAGCTGATCTTGAGTGCGTGTGTTCACACTTTTGCATCTTCTGCCCAATGGAAGAGGATGGAACAGAGTATAACCAGGGTGGGAGAGGTCTTTGACTATGTTGGCTGCATCCCTGAGGCAGCAGGAAGTGTAGATGGAGTCAATGGATGGGAAGCTGGTTTGCGTGATGGACTGCGCTATGTTCACGACTGTAATTTCTTGTGGTCTTGGGCAGACTCGGTTGCCACACTTAAGTTGTGATGCATCCGTATAGGATACTTCCTATGGTGCATCTATAATTTTTTTTTAAGACCAGGCAACTAGGAATTGGCAACAAATGCTAGCCTAGCCAGAGATGCCCACATTCTTTGAATGAGTAAGAAAAAAGAATATATCATAGAGGGAAATGTCCCTCTGGAATGTTGAAAGGAGCAAAGCGTGAGATTGGTGGCAGTGACATGCTGGAATGATAGAAATGGAGCATAATTCATTGGAACATGGAGGGTTGTATGGTGGGGGGGTGAAAACGATGAAGCCACTTGTAGTTCTGGTCAAGAGGAGAAGGTGTCAGAACAATAAAGCAGGAAATGGAACAGACACAGCTGAGAGCCTTTTCAACCACATTAGTTTGAGGGAGATGAAAAACACGAACAGCATTGTGGGTGGCACGGTGGCTTAGTGGTTAACACTGCTGCCTCACAGCACCAGGGACCCAGGTTCGATTCCGCCGTCGGGTGACTGTCTGTGTGGAGTTTGCACATTCTCCCCATGTCTGCGTGAGTTTCCTCTGGGTGCTCCGGTTTCCTCCCACAGTCCAAAGATGTGCAGACTACGTGAATTGGCCATGCCAAATTGATCATAGTGTTCAGGGATGTGTAATTAGGTGGATTGAGTCTGGGTGGGATGCTGTGAGGTTAGATGTGGACTTATGGGGCCGAAGGGCCTGTTTCCACACTGTAGGGATTCTATGATCTATGGTGTATGGAAAATAGGATCATCATAACAGATCTTGAGGAAGTTGGGAGAATAGAATAGAGGCCTTCGAGGAAGAAAGTAATTAAGGTAACTGTGGGTTTATAATAAATAGAAACTTGTTCATCTATCTCAGGAAATGGAAATACAGAAACAGGCAGAAAAGGTGGCGAATCAGTGAATAATCATGCAAAGGTGAGGGAAGGGCTGTACTGGAAGTAAAGTGATTAGATTTTCTTGTTCAGGCAAGAGCAGAGATGGCGTCAAAACAATCATTACTGTTTTTGAAAATGAGCTGAAAGGACCCAAATAGATTTGGAGCAAAGAATGTTCTCTCCTTGTGAGAAGGCAGGCATAGCTTGGGTAATGTGACAATCTGAGAAGTTGAAAGCTGTGGAAGGAAGATCTCCAGAGAAGATTAGCATGGTGACAATTTAGGAAACAATATCATCTGCTTTTGCCTTAGACCATCATTCTTTCGTGATATTAATCACTCCAAAAATTAGATCAAAATGACCACACACTTTTTTTTCAGACAGAAACTGAAATTGATTGTGCTATTGACATTTACTTTCAGTCAACTAGTAATGATCTATCAAAGCAACAGTGCTAGAAAACTGTCCACAAAGTTGCAGCGATCTCTGTGGCAAGCTTTGCTTTCTTGTTGTCGGTTTAAATCTAGCACTAAGTCATTGGTAACTCCAGGCATCCAGCAGCAATGCAGTCATCAAGCAGACTAAGCACCTATCACATTGAAGTAATCACAGTCAGCAAACCACAAAGCAAAGGAACAAATCCCTTCACTTTTACTTATCCATAAAAGGTATGGCGAAATAAATGATTGCATCGTACACATTTGATTAAGACAGAAGCTAAATTATAAATAATTAGTTAAGGAAAGAGAAAAACTGAAATTTAACACACCAGAATTATTCTCACTGCCAGTTATAAACTTCAAGCATTGTTTAAAAAATCAAGAACACCTCCTTCAACATAAAACTTTTCTAAGGTTTTTACAGTGAAACTATTTATAAATTGCAGGTTTTTTTCGTCAGTTTGGCAATATTTTTGACTTTGTTGATTTGTTCACACCTCAAGGGGAACATTTCCTATGCACATACTGTTCATGTTAGCTAGCTGCATTAAACAAGTGAACTTGATATTTGGAAAACAACTAAGTTTAAGTCGGAGATAGTAGGAACTGCAGATGCTGGTGAATCCGAGACAACAAGGTGCAGGGCTGGATGAACACAGCAGGCCAAGCAGCAGCATAGGAGCAGAGAGGTTTAAGTTGGCCGTTTTTAGGTCTGTGTAATCCCTAATTAATTGCAAGTATAGTTTACTTACAACTTTGCGACTGTATCTATATAAACATGTTTCTGCTGATTTTGTAAATGATATAGAGATACAATTAGTGAGTTTTAGTAAGAGACTCACAGTTTCTAATAAACTCAGAGGCTTTAAAGAAATAATAATATTTTTGATAGAAATAATACTTTAAAGAAGTATTTGCAAAAAACATTGAAGAACATAAAACCTCATGCAGGATTCAAAACCGTAACACAGGAATTAAGAAAGATATTACCAATCAACTAAACTGTTTGTGAACTTCCTGCGATGAGGCCTGAACACACTGGTCAGCAATTCTGATTCCAGCTCCTTCAGAAATGCACAGCATAGCTGAAATCAAGCTGTTCTCTCACAGTGCAGGATAATCAGGGAGGTCAAACCGCTCCCCATTTTTCAGCAGTCTTTGTGCTGGATTCTGTGATTTCAATGATTAACAGCATAGGCAACCCCTTTGACAGCTGCTGTGGAGGCAGCGTATGTAGGTAGATGTTTGGTTGATTTAAGGCATTAGGGTACCAGATAGAGAAGGGTCCGGTGTCTTGGTAAGATAATTGATGGAGTGCTTAGGATAGGATGGGGTCCAGATGGCAGGTAGGTGGAAGGGGTTGTTACCCTGGATGGTGTCATGCTGGTGAAGAGAGGGTTTATTGGATCTACTGGTGGGTGGTGTCATTGGGTGTCAGGGGTTCAGGCTAACAATGGGGGTATTGTTGGGATTCTGGGAATGATGGGGAGGGAGGGTTTGGAGGAGGTCACCTCTCTGGTTGGGGGAACCTAGTCAGGTTGTGGGTGCCAGGGATCCAGGTGCTTGTAAAGAGATTTGAGGGATGTGTAGTTGGAGGAGGTGAGTGGTGAGTTGGGTGGTTAATTTAGTAGTGGCTCAAGATTTTGATGAGGTTTTTGATCCTCTGACTATTCCTGGCTAACCGAAACTGAACCCTCTGAGTTCTTTGCCTTTTAATGGATTCTGTCAGAGGGTTCCAGGTGGAGGGGAATTACCCATCGGAGTCTTCAATTTCCCAGGCAATTCCTGTGCAGCCTATAATTCCATGCAGTCCTAATATGCAACTCCAGTCCGTGCTGCTGTAATGACTATCTGGCCATTGGTTATGGCCAGTTAAGTAGGGTTCTGTTATGGGGGTGTTACTGATGCTGTAATTTCTCCTTTAAAACA